AAGCATATGTTCTCCAGTGAATCTTTTTAACTTAGTGAAGTAATTCTGCAATGCATGAAGGAATAGTCAAGAGTGACAAATTTTGAAAAACTGCTTAAGAAGGACTCTTAATATTAGATGGAGGAGTGGGTAATTAAAAGATTGTGACAGATGTGGAAGGAAGTAGAGAGCTTAGTGGGACAGAAATTAATCTCAGGGGTAGACCCTGAGGCATAAAGCTTTCCATTGGATAGCGAAGTCTTTTTTAAATCATTTGGAGAGAAATGTACCATTCAAAAACCATGCAGAAATTATCAGTTAACAACTGAAAAGGGAATCAAACTCTCACTTCATGTAATAAACCAAAATTAGCATCATATTTGTTAAAACATCACAACTACCAAATGAATAGATATAGATAGAAAGAGAAAGGAAGGGGGGAGGAAGACAAAATATAAAGCGAATAACCTTTCACGAGGACATTTTCTAAGTGTAGAAGCCAGGGAGAAATGAAAATAATTGAGAAATTGACATTTTAAAAATGAAAGAGTTAATAGCAAAATATTATAAGACTTAGCTTTGGAAGATACTTGTAAAATGCATTTTACTACATTGAATAATGCATAGTATTATGTGGTTTTCTTGCTGTTCTCATAGAGTTCTTATAATTAAAAATAATAACACCCCAGTAGAAAAATGGATGACATACAGTAATAATTAAGACACCGACCAAGGAAGGAAATGGTCAAGGCACTTGAAGCACTTGTTTTTTTTTTTTCTTTTCTTTTTTTCATAAAGTAGCAAAATGCAAAGGCCATTCTTTTTTTCAGCTCTCAGTTTGCAGAAGGCTAACCCTGATGACATTCAGTGCTGTTGAAGATAGGGATACATGGGCATGTCCATAGGCCTCTGTTTTCAGAAGCCCCTTTGGTTTGTGTACTGAAACCGGTAAAATAGAAAAACAATTTAAACTTTGAAACTCCAATTTTAGAAAATTGTAGGAAACGGATAAATTACAGATGTCTCTAGATATTTGTTTATAAAACAGCTTATCATGGCACTGTTTGCAGAGTGGAAACATTAGATGGGCTGCGCGTGTATGATGGTGATGGCAGCCCCTTGCCTAGCATGTCAGGTCCATCCTCAACACACACACACATGCGCACATGGAAAGAGATATAACATGCAAGACGGGCGACCTCTAGTAACCAACCATAGTTTAAAAAATATACTGTGCGATGGTTATTTTATTTATTTCTCTATTTTTAAATTTTTAACATATGTAAATATTGTACATATTTATGAGGTATCAAGTAAAATGTTTGGGTATATTTTATAACTTTTGTTATTTCTATAATTTCCACGATGAATATGTATTGCTTTTATAAAAATTAAAAAAAATTAAACCATGTGGCATAGACATTGAGATGTATGTTTTTTTCCCTCCAGTGACTGGTTGCTTTGCCATGTGCTGGTGAAGTCTCAGCTGAGCAGTTAGGCACTTTATTTTAAAAATGAAACAAAATCAAACATCAGATTAAAAACTATATGTTGATTTTACAAAAAATTAGCAATATTTGGTTTGAAAAAGTTAATATAAAATAAAAGATATTTTCATTTAAGAAATGGTACTGTTAAAATGAAAACAATTCAATTAGTTTTATATGCCTTTAAATAAATTAGTGATCCCATACCAGGTTATAAATATAATCTAGTTTCATTTTAAACAGAACCTACAAACAATTTTACAAATTAACATTGGATAACAGATTGTTTACTTATTTGTGTAATCTTTTGCCACAGTGGCTCACGTAGCCCAGGTTGGGCTTGAACCTGCTGTGTAGCCGGGAGGACTCTCGACTCCTGACCTTTCTGCTTCCACTCCCCACGTGCTAGGGTGATTACAGATATGGGCTACTGTGCCAGATTTTGTTTCTTTAAAATAAAAAAATCTACTTTCCTACATTATTATTGCTAGGGATAGGAAACAAAGTGCTTGATAAAGAACGACAAATGATCTTCTAGGAAATGTCTCATGTTATTTCTAGAAAATACTGACTTGTTTAAAACATGTAAAAATTGTATACATGTTAAATATGATACAATGATCGAGTGGGTAAACATAATAAAACATTGACGCTGTCAAATGTGAAACCTTTAGTAAACATTAGTCACTCTTGGTTATACATCTTCTTTCGTTTCCCACTTAAATTAACAAAATCAATTTTACACAGTTCTAGCATGATTAATTCATAGCTTTAAAAGTCTCGTAAATAGTAAATATTGTACAGGATCTCCTATGGGAGCCTGGACTTAAACACAATGGTTTGGCTGGCGGTGTCGTGTCAGCAAAAACTTCCATAACATGTAAATAGGAGGGTAAACCCCAAGCAGCCTGACCGACAAGGGCAACTCATCCATCTCCCACAGCCCGCCTTTCTAATCACTTGAAAGCCGCCTCCAAGACCAGGTGCTGTTCCCAGAGGAGAAAACACTGCCCTCCAGTGGCCTCGAGTGGGGAGATGGCGAGAGTCAGGTACCAGGAAGGCAGCATTTGTGTGAAATGTGGTGTGTTTATCTAGTCTCACTTCCGGCTATAGTTCTTGTCTACAACCAAGGAGAAGGACAGACTCTCCTAACTGAATTCTAACAGACATGTAGCTCCTCCAGTCGGGTGGCTGTACTAACTACCGTTAAGTAGAACCATCGCGGGCTTTTTTGACCCCCCAAAGCTGACCACACATCTGACTATCACAATTAGATTGTGCTAGCCCCCAATAGTTTCTCACTTTCCAGCTAAGTAAGAAGAGATTTCATCTCGATGTTTCCCTTGTTGGCCAATTTTTTAGCTAAAAGACATTTAAAATTGTACAGCAGGCAGAACCCCAGGGGACAGGACAGTGTTCCAACATCCTTAAAGGCTTCCCGTCACTTGAAAAACCAAATTCTTCCTCCTGTTTCTTCAACTAACCAAAGTAGGCAAAAGCAATCGTAAAAGTCTTTGTGTCTAGCATTGGAGCTTTCTCATATTTCACACCATTATATAAATGTCACTCTAACCTATATGTATCACAAATGCTACGCTAAATTAGGGCCAAATTTGCAACCTAGTTTAACTGGGTTTCCTCTTTTTGCAAATGCAGTTTTTGTGTCTGCATTTAGCAATGCATACAAAACTGTCCGCGTAGCTAACTGCTTCGAATTGCTAAATTTGAGGATGGATGTGTAGATCGCTCGTCTTCATGCATGTGCCAAAGCAATGCTGTTTCTAGTCATAGGAATATTTCCTAATCAGATGGACCTTGACTGGGGCGCAAAATTCACGGACGGGGAAAAGAGTTTTCAAATCTCCTCCATCCTCTGCTCTTCAGCGACCACCGGGGAACTGCAGCCCATGAGAAGGTCATGGTCTCTTGGAGTCTCAGGGGCTCATTCTTCGCTAGTCATGTGATTTAAACTTGGCTTTTTTTTTTTTTCCCTGAACAACAAAACAAAGGTAATAATGCCAGTCTCTTAAGGTGGCTACTGAAATGGAATCAGGGAATGTAGGTGAAGTGTCTACCACAGAGAAGGACTTTAACCAAAACGTTATTTTTGGTCTTCTACCATCAACTCTTAGAATAATAGCCTGCTATAACGTTACCCAGGGGTATGATTTTTCTAAGCTAATCCTCGTTTATCATTAACAAACGGATCTTCATTTACTGTCTAGAAGTGTCATGAACCCTGCAGATCTATTCTTTAAAAACAAATGCCTTATGCAGAAGAAAACATTTTTAACACCATATTGTTCAACTATAGCACCTTTAGATAGGAATCAGACCCCCCACACACACACACACAGAAGGCCGCATCTATTATGCATTCACCTGCATTCCCAGAGCCCGTCAGAGGTTTGGAAAGGACAAACAGAAGAAGTCTAACTGTTGTGAAGGTACTATAATAATTAGACGTATTTGGTCCAGCGTAGTGAGTTACAGCGTTTCTGTGCTTGAGGGTACGGAATGCCCGCGCCACACCTGTTCTGGTTAGTTCTACTTACAGAATATATATTTCAGAAAGGAAGCTGGCGTGTTGCAGGAGATTAACCCACTATCTCTTGAGATGATGAAGAACTTAGACAGTTTTAAAAGGGACATCTTTCCACTAGCCGTGGCCGCTATGCCTGTTTACTGAGCCGTGGCCGTACCGGTACCTCCTCCCTCTTCAGCATCAGAAAGCGATGGCATCTTTCTTTTTTGATAAATTCACTGAGTGTTGCCTTCACCAACTGTGACAGCTCACCAATACTTGAAGTTAAACAGAGTAGACTCCTTGACTACTCAAAATGACCTATTTTTTTGAAGTCAGGGCCTCACTGTGTGGCCCAGCTTGGCCTGGAACCTTGGTACCTCTGTCTCTCCAGTACTGACATCACGGATGTGTGATGCTGTAGCCATCCCGAAACAGGCTTTTGTCATTAACAACAATTAACTGAGATAGACTGGTGAACTGAGAAAGCAATAGCGATCTGAATTCTTTCAGCTGAAAAAGTTTAAGTAGTATTTGAGGACAAAGCAATGGAAGTACAAGTAGTTATTGCTTCGCCAAAGCCTATGTATAAATATTGTCTATATATTAGTAAATATGAAAGACACTGGGGATATATCCCAATAGCAGGCATATAGTACGTGTGAAGCCACGAGCTCAGTCCTCAGCACCCAGAAGATGGAGGGTGAGGACTAACTTTGCGATGGCTAATCTAAATTACTGCCAAAAAATCTGATAATTAAACCTATGCATTTATGATAAACATCCCGAATTTGAAAAAGTATATCATAATTTCAACAGTATCAAAACAATCTAAAGTCAGACACTTTTGCTGTATATAATTATAGTATTATAATTCTCTACCTTGACAGATGACAATTTTAGAACATTCTAAATACAACTTCTAGTATATGCACTAAAATAAAATGTAACAGATAGACAACTCACCATAATATAAGTAACACATTCAAATTTAGTAATTTATTTTCCAGGTGGAAACCAGGCTTCTTGGAAGACTTCGCACTATGCCAAATGGTCTGATTTCACCATAGAGGTAGGCACAAGGGGACTAAATTTACCTCTGTGTAATTTCTGTTAGCTACATTTTACATGCAAATGTATATACAGCCATGCTAATGAAGTTAGAGAGAAAGTTGGCAATCCCATTTTTCTGTTTTATTCAAAAGCAACTTTTCAATGACTTTCTCGCTTTTTAAACCTTTCTTCATTTAATCGCAAGAAAACTGAAAAGCCTAACAATGCCTTCAAATTGGATCACAAGTTAAGAAAAACAATATACTTATGCATAAAATTTAAGCTCAGTAAGATCATTTTCTTCCTATACATTTTAGTCTTCTGGGCATAGAATGCTTCAGCTGAGATCAGAGAAAGGTAATCACATCTAAAACACGGCAATGGACTGATCCACACACGGTTTCTTCAGAGGGAACAAAAGGTCTATGTCTCACATAGCCTTGAATGCTAAATTCATCATCATGATCCCAAATACTTTTCTAGGAAATGTAAACAGATACATTTAAATGAGTATTTCCCGTTAAGATGTTAGCATTTAAGCTCAAAGCCTATATTAGCAAAAGTGTGCAGTATCCTTTCAATTGGAACATTAATAACCTCAAGTTTGTCTCAGACTAGAAGTGCCCATAGAATGCAAGAAGGAAAGTGTTGGAAAACTAAAGACACAGTTCATGAGCAATAATATGGAGTGGAGATGCACAGGCGCTCATAGGGGAAAGAGAAGCAACGACTTCAAGTCTGCTTTGCATGTCGTAGTCAGGTGAGGACACAGCCTCGTCTGCTAGCAGCCAGAAAAATAAAGACAAAACTTTCTCTCCTTTCAGTGCTAAGGGCAATCAGGATTTTGATGTGAGTTCCAAACTCCTAGAACTTGGAAATGCCAAAGACCCAGAACACCCCAGAAATAGAGACCTTCAGTTGCGGAAATGTTAGAATCCATAAGATATGGGTGGTGTGGTTCTCGGGTACAGGACTTGGTTCACATACCTGAGACCCTGGGTTCAACTGCTAGCAGTGGGGGTAAAATTCATAGAAGCGTTTGTTGGTCACTCCACTCTCACACTAGGAGAGAGACTCAGGATGAAGAGAGGGGCACGAAGAGAGGACTTTAGTGTTGGAGGGAAAGCCTGCTGTGAGGAGTGGCAGGCCCTCTTGAGGGGCTTAGGTGGCAGACCTACTTAGAGTCATAACTACTGTATCATTTTGTCAGGGAAAACAATGTATTGTGTGTTGTGTTGTGTGGGTGCGTGTGTGTGTGTGTGTGTGTGTGTGTGTGTGTGTGTGAGAGAGAGAGAGAGAGAGAGAGAGAGAGAGAGAGAGGGAGAGAATTGCATCAGGGTGGGGTGGGGGAACAGGGGTGATACAAAATTTAACAAACTGGTTTTTAAGGAAACATTGAGTGTTGTGTTTACGCATGCTGGGCAACATAACCCATAAACCTTGCTGGATTGCCGCAAACTGCTGTGAGAAGCACACAATGGCACTGCTGTCAATGGGGGGAAGAGACAGACAGGAATTGAGGGAGGCAAGCAGCACCCCAGGATGTGAAGTTTGTTCCCACTACAAGCTGTAGTGGAAGAAGCTAACACCAGGAACAAAATGTCACTTCCCAAGGATGCGAAAGCCCTTGCTTTGTGGTCGCTGCCTATGGGAAGAATGATCAACAGGACTGACTCGATGTCCCCACTTCCCTGGAATCAAATGTATAAAGTCTTTTTAAAAAGTTATTTTTAAACTTCTTGTTTTAGAGCCCATTGTGTTCCACGAAGCGGGCAAAACTCAGAGAGATAACAAAGACTTGATCTACAGAAGAGAAGGCAATAAAGAGCCAGCCCTCTCCAGAGGGTAATTAATCCTTCCTCATTCATCTTAGAAGTCGCAGTTACAGGGGAGGTTAATGTGCAGGTAACTCTCTCTATTTTCTTTAAAATTTTTTAAAAAATTTTTTTTTTGCAGAATGTTATACTATTAATTGCCAATTTGCATATGTGTGCAGCTGCTGTTTTGGCTCTGAACTCAATCCGATAAGCTAGCTGGAGGTATCACAGAGCACTTGGCAGCTTTCCTATTTGAAAAGAAAGCCTCTCCCACCACAGAACAGCTGATCGTCTATCAGCGATAGACCCTGATGGCGTGAATTACAATTACACTACTTTTCACACTAAATCTGGGTGATAGCTACTTGGAAAGAAGTTTCATCATTTTTTACCACAAACTGGAAAAAGAATTACATGGTCATGCTGTGCTTTTAAAGGCAGTTTGGTTCACTTTTGTCTGTTTAACACCTAATTCCAAGAAGTCCATAGGCATCCAGAGATCTGAATGGCGCGTAATGAATTCACTGTTTAGATGGAAGATTTGAAAAATCTACCTCAAATTACATTTATTAACAAGGCGACCAGGAAGTGTTAAAGTTGTTAGACGCTTCATTTATTAAATAATTTGTGGGTATTTTCAGTTGTCATATCTAGAGTCATGGGGTTTGCTTACTTTTTTTTTTTGTAATTAGCAATCCAAAACAATGCTTCTGCGATTTAACAATTCATCACATAATCGTGGGCTCATCCGTTCAGCTGTTAATATTAGATAATTCGGATAGTTATTTTGATCTGTTTATAAATGATTTGGGTTGCATTGTGCCGCGAGGAACACTGTGGCGGCCCAGGCAGATCCTGAGGTTGCCTGTCTTGCCAAGGACAGCTGAGAGCCTCCCAGGAAATGCTTTTGCTGTACTGAGTTTGGTGAACAAGGGAGAGGGGCAGGGACCCAATAACTTGATTTCGCTTTGTTTGGTTTACTTCATTATCAGTGTACATTTCCTTTCTCTTTGGAAAGCTGCGGGAGGCTTTCGCTCTAAGAGTGTATTTTATTAGACCCCGACATCTCTCTCATTTTCTGAGACTTTAGGAAAGAACTGAATTTTCCTCCTGCAAGAACCCACCAACCTCAGAGAGCGTGGAGGCCTCTTTCCTTCCTCCCCCTAGGCTCTCCTCCCTCCTATCTTGACATTGAAATCCATTAAAAGTTAAAGCCACCTCGAGCGGCGGGAGAGGAGCGCACTAATCCTGACGTAGCTAATCTAAGAGAAAAATAGATCTGGTTTTTCTTTTTTTAGTCGCTAGCTTTATTAGATTTCTCACTCTCACAGATTATCCGAAGACTACCCATTGATTGATCGCCCGTAGAGCTGCATTTGGTGGAAAGAAAAAAAATCACAGCTTTATTGGCTCCCAGGAGACAAAACAAACAGAACAAGATATTCATATTAATGCAAACAATGCAACAAATGAGGGGAAGAATGGCCGTGTAGAAGCCTGGCAGAGGCGCGGCTGCAAGGGCCCGGGCACCTCAACTCTTGCCCAGGTCCTTGGCCTCTGAGCTTCGCCCACCGAAGGGCAGCAGGCCTAGAGGTGGCCTCCAGCTCAGGCCTCAGGAAGGCCTATCTTGTCCTCAGTCCTGCAGTAACAAACTGGATAGGACCTTGGGCCTCCTTCTTGGCTTCTTACATTTTGTTCTTCACAAACCCAGTTCCTCGGCCTCACCTCTGCTTTCCAGCTGGGTTAGAAGGAGAGTCCAGAAGGCTCGGGTGTCCCTCCCAACCACCTGAGGCAGCAGGAGAGAGACAAGAAAGATGCCTGCTAAGAGTATTGGGGTACACCCTTCTCTAAGCTCACCTTCCTGTGGAGGAGATTATTTAAACTCTCATGGAAACAACACAGAGCTTTGTGTAGTCAAAAGCGAGAGGAATAGTGGGCACAGCACATCTGTATCTGAGAGGCTCGGGGTGTGCACACCAGTTTGTATCCGAGAGGCCCCCAGATGTCTGGTGAACGGGAGGCAAAAATCAAAATTCCAGATAGCACATCTATTTCCCTAGATCCTTAGGGAAGACTCTCTTAAGACCCGGTTGTGATGTTAAAAATAGAGTTGCCAAGTAGTGTGGGGCTTACGTGTCCTAAAAAGATTATAGCTCAGATTTCATTGAGCATCCTGTGTTTTCATTGGTTACATCTGCACGGCTCCTTCACTGATGACGCTGTACTGGTAGGCATCAAGGATTATTCTCTGATGCAGTCCTGACACCACTTTTACCAGCTCTTTCCTTTGAAAACCAGTTGCATCGTTTTCTAAGAACAACTTGTGAGGCCGGGGGACTCTGATGGACAGCTTGGAGAAGGCAGAGTCATTGCTGCCTCTTCACAAAGACAGGGGATAGGATTCCCTCCCTGTGGTTGCCCTCGGTTCACACCGCATCTCTGGCCATCACAACAGAACCCCGTCAGTCAGCACTGTATGCAATTGTCTAACCCTTCCTAGAGAGCAGTATTGCTGTCTTAGCGTTCGCTGGGAAAGAAAACCAAGCTGGGCCTTGGGAACTTTGAAAGCAGAAAGGCAGAAGGAAACCCGCTTTGAAAGTTATCCCAGGTTCTCATCTAGGCATAAATCTCATTTACTGTCTTCTAGGTGCCTAAAGAAAGGCTTTCAAAATGCCCAGAGGAAAGTCTCATGGAAAAGGAGACCAAAGAGTAGTGAGGCTGTGTGTGTTTGTGTGTGCGTGTGAGTGGTGTGTGTGTGTGTGTGTGTGTGTTGCTTTAGGAAGGGAGGGAGGAAGCTCTATGCTTGCTGCTTACATTTCTCTCCCAGCCTGGGTCAGACAGAGCTTTCTCAAGCGAGCTTTGTCACCCTCTGGCTTCTCTGTATTCCCAGTGAGCTAGCCTGCCGCCTTTTAAGCCAATTGCTTGAAGTTGGATGAATACACCCACACAGGATGCCCCTTTCTCGCTGACACTTAGTGCTATTTAACAACTGCAAATGGAGAAACTATTTGTCTAATGAGATCTGTTGTCAGAGTTGATTCGCCAACACCGGGGGAAGATAATGGAAGGCTGAGACCTCCCCCTGAGCTGCAGGGCCATCACAGACAAGGAAGGCCAACAGGAGCCAAGTGCAACCTGTAGCTACAGAACGCATTTGGTTTCAGGATGTGCTTACTTCAGGGCTCACACCGCTTTGCTTTCCTGTTCTTCTCTAGAGGACTCCAACCCCTGGTCAGAATTCAGATTATCAGAAGTGAGCATTGTGGTTTGGGGGTTACGGTGTGGGTTAATTGAACATTGCAGAGACATAAATCCTTTATACATTCAGTTCTTCCTGAAGCATCCCAAATGACAAAAATTCATTCCAATACTTTCTTTATTCTCATCTGAGCCAGCTCAAGAAATGCTCACCACCCAGAATGGAGAAACGCCTCTTCTTCCAACAGAGATGAACTGAGGTCCTTGTAGGGTGCTGGCTAACTCAGTACCTGGACAGCAAGCCTCACTCTGGGGCCAGGCTCCCCACCATACTCATCACACTTACCTTAACTGTCAGTGTCTTTGAATCAAAAGTCCTTGAGATGGGCAGGGCAAAAGTCTACTTTGTGTATATTTGTGTGTGCATGTAAAAGGGATTGATTGTATGGGGAAAAGGATAGATAGCTTGACGGTCCGCCTTAGTTGGGGTCTAGCTAATTTAAGTGCCTCTGAGAGACTCATTTATTCTCTTTGGGTCTAGTGTTGCTCCTCCCCCACCCTCAACCACCAAGAAAACTGAATCAGGCCATATTTTAGGCCTTGTTGATGTGAAAACAATTATTCATTGAGCTAAGTGATAACATCTTTTATATGTGCTTCCCAAACAAATATCTGTGTATCAGTAAGCTAGCTTTTCAGCGTCTTCATTATAGAGCCCTGAGTAAGAAAGGACACACACTCCAGATTATCTGGCCTTTCTAGATGGCAAAGGGACGTGTGTATATTTGTGTGTGTGTGTGTGTGTGTGTGTGTGTGTGTGCCCACGCATGCGCGTGTGGCCCTGGTTACCTATGAAGGGATTCCTTAGTGAGGTGCCAAGTCTCCGGGAGAGGCGTGAGTGACTTAAAGACGTCCACGTTTTCCCAGGTAGACGTGGCCCGGATCTTACCTGCGGCCAATGGAGGGAAGACCGTCATGAACCAGAGCTAACGGTAGGTCGTGAATAGGCATGGTGCCATCGCTCTGAACATTTGGACACTTGGTGCACTTTGAAATGTATGAATTCATCTGAGGGGTGTTCTGAGGCTGGAGGAAGTAGGCAGTACCGTAGGTCGCAAGCAGTCACAGATGTGAGCTTGCCAACCCTCGCTGGGTTATCAGCGGTGATAGGTGAGATCTCTTTTGATCCGAGGCCTTCTTGAACCATAGTCTCCAACACTCTTTCCCTAAACAGACTTCATTCACATTCTGAATCTGGTTTTTGTCTCACACATACTAAATTTTACAAAACAGAAAGAAACAATAGAGCTTATTAGGAAAAACTTGTCTTGAATAGTAAATTAAGCAGAATGGAAGCAGGCACATGTTTTAGCACGGTTCCCCCCTTTCTTACCAATTGAACATTTACATCTTTTTCAGGGCTGTGATTTTCCCCTAAAGTCTTAAGCTGGCGCCACACACTTGCAGCGAATGAGACTTACATCATTTGTGTCTACAGAGAGAGAGAAATCTTTGTAAGACTGTATCCCAAGTGCAGGGCCTTCCAGAAAGAGTTTTCAGCGCTCACCCCTATCCTGCATTAGTCATCCTGGTGGTGGCATTCTAAGAACCCACAGAACTAACTCATTTCTGAAGACTGGAAATCAGCTGTCAGTGATGGCTGCCTTTAAAGTACGCCTTGCTCGCCAAGACCTGTGAATTCGGAGGTACACCTGACTACATGCTTTGTTATTAAAAGATACGCCCCAGGTGGAGGCATCTTCAAAAGCAATATATTTTCTTTATAACTGGTGTCAAATTGATGTATATATTAAAAAAATCTTGGAAAATGATCTCAAAAAGGAAGTAACAGACCAGTGAGCCATATGTTCAGGGAAGCTATCAGGTTTC